GCACTTGTCGTAATAAAAAATATATTTTTTACTATAATAACATTAATGTTTTATTATTATTTTCTGTGCCCGTTACTACAATAAATGTTATTAATGTTATAAGTATTTTTTACATATTGGCAGTAACAAATTTGATTTTATTACAGTTGAAAAAGAAATTAAAATATTCTCGTACGTCTCATGCAGTAACTGAAAAAAGCGGGAGTGGCCATTTTGTTGTAAGATGTCATGGCCGGGAGCGGTGCACTTGGACACGGTGCATTTGGACACAGCCAATCACAGCACCGTATGATTAGAGACATTTGTAGGGTCTCTTGGAACAGCGATTTGTGATTGGACTGTGTCCAATTGCCCCGTGTCCAACTGATATACACCCGTCATGGCCGAATCGGATAGCACAGTTAGGATTGAGTTTTTTTAGCATTTCCTAGGTTTTTTACATTATACGATAAAATACGTATAATACGTATAAAAACGCATAAAACGTGTAATACCTAGGATTGATACAAAAACAGAAACTGTTGATTATTATCTATGTAGTTGATAGTTTCTGTTTTTCTACGAGCGCGAGTTCTGATTGGCTTTCTATCTTTCTGCTTTCTGCCAAGATGAATGCGCCCTAATTTATTGCACTTATTGCACCAGATGTACCATGTGATTAATCCGTCTTCAAAAATGCAATCAGAACAGAGTATTTCCATCCAGCAAGCAATCCAGCATGAAAATATCGGAATCACCCAAAGGTCAATATTTCTCTTTTATCTATAAAAATGTCTCTAAAGCCCGTATCAGGGTGCCGTCCCATTGAGCACGGATCGGAACGCCGGATCGGATTTCTTACTATAATGAGCGTTCCGTTCTCTAGTTCCGTTCCGTAAAAGTTTCCTCTACCAGTCCCATGTAGCAAAAACGGAACGGAATGGCGCGTCGGTCGCAAATAAATATGATTAATTCGTCAATATTTCATTATTTTGACGCGACAGAATTAATTATATACATAATTTATGCAATTATCTTGCCGATAACATTGTCATGAATATTCTGAAATATTTAATTGAAGAGTGAAATATATTTTATAACTAGAAATCCGTTCCGTTTTTGCTACATGGGACTGGTAGAGAAAACTTTTACGGAACGGAATTAGAGAACGGAACGCTCATTATAGTAAGAAATCCTATCCGGCGTTCCGATCCGTGCTCAATGGGAAGGCACCCTAACTCTAATTGTCATAAACACCCCATATTCTCTCGGATCCAGGGTAGCGATCATGAATCTTTTCCCTTATTGTGAACTCGTGAAAAGTAAAAATTTTGTAATAAACTCGTGAAAGATGAAAATCTTCACTAGACTCGTGAAAAATGAAAGTTTTAACGTGAATTTGTAAGTAAAATAAATATTACAATATACTCAAGACAGCTCCAATTTGCAATGGACATCTTTAGAATTTTTTCAGCATGTTTTTAAGATATAGTGATGTCTTTAGAACGTCTCTTGGAAGTCTGCTTGTTTGGGATTACTTTAGGATAAATTATGAAATGATAAAATATTTTATTAATATTAAAATTATAAATCTGCAGAAAATATATATTTCATATAAAATAATACATAAACTACATGCAATAAATACACAAAATAAACTTACATTTTACTTACTACATACAATTTATAATATATTACATTTTAACTTTCTGATGCATACGTAACAGAAAATATATATTTCATATAAAATAATACATAAACTACATGCAATAAATACACAAAATAAACTTACATTTTACTTACTACATACAATTTATAATATATTACATTTTAACTTTCTGATGCATACGTAACAGAAAATATATATTTCATATAAAATAATACATAAACTACATGCAATAAATACACAAAATAAACTTACATTTTACTTACTACATACAATTTATAATATATTACATTTTAACTTTCTGATGCATACGTAACAGAAAATATATATTTCATATAAAATAATACATAAACTACATGCAATAAATACACAAAATAAACTTACATTTTACTTACTACATACAATTTATAATATATTACATTTTAACTTTCTGATGCATACGTAACAGAAAATATATATTTCATATAAAATAATACATAAACTACATGCAATAAATACACAAAATAAACTTACATTTTACTTACTACATACAATTTATAATATATTACATTTTAACTTTCTGATGCATACGTATCTTAACTTTGCAAACTTCGTCGGTATACTTTCACTGCCTATACGTCATCACGCTTCAATTGGCTTTCGTTGTTCATTTTTAATGGACGTAGGATTCTTATGTCAAATGCCAATTGTCGTATAATCATAAAAATTAAAGTCACTATAAGAATTCTACTCACTTTGTACATAATATGCGAGTGTAGTATTACATTATTTTTCATATTTAAATCACATCGCTTGATGCTTAAAAATTTTCATGGAAATTTACACAATTTACATGTAAAGAAGAACATATACGAACAAACTGAAAGTTCACGTGAAATATTTCACGTTTTGAGAATTCACCTTTCACGGTTAACGTTCGTCTCATTTATTAAATTTACTCATATTGTATTATTATATTATATTATAACTATAAATTTAAGTTGTATAGTGCTTATTAATGTGTTATATATTACATTGTGTATACTGTAATTACATTTTAATTTTAATAATCTATATTACATAAATATTACTTTTCACATTTTCATTGTTCACCTTTCATGTAAAATAATTTACAGTAAAAAGTAAAAAATGAAAATGAAGTTCACGTGAAAGATTCATGATCGCTACCCTACAGTGCTGCGAGTTCGGGATATTTTCTAGATGACAGGAGCCCTTCTGCGCATGCGTGAAATGACGTACAGCTCAACGTAAGCAGTTTCTATAGAGAATAGAGGAGCCATAAAAATCGTACCATGATCAATCGAGTCTCACCCCATTATGCTCGGGTGTATATCAGTTGGACACGGGGCAATTGGACACAGTCCAATCACAAGTCGCTGTTCCAAGGGACCCTACAAATGTCTCTAATCATACGGTGCTGTGATTGGCTGTGTCCAAATGCACCGTGTTCAAGTGCACCGCTCCCATTATGCTCAACATCAAATTGGGGAATCTGTTTCCTGAAGATAAAGATGTCACTAGTTATTAACTTCTTCTAAACAATCATTCCTATTGGATATCCGAATTACAGTACATCAAATAGGGTGGAACCCGATTGACCACGGTACGATTAAACACAGATTGTAATGATTGGTTCGACGTGGTAATTCACTAGATAATTCTTTGCATCGGTTGGTTGTATCTAATCGTCAGTGGTCAATTGGGACGCTCTCTATCAAATGTTATGCGTAGAGTAAATCTATATATCCAAGAAATATGACTGATAATGATGCCGAAATCGGTTTTCCATACAATCGCCAAATTTGCCGGTAATGTAGTATCTCTGTAATGTGTATATATCACATTATGCGATTTCTTATCTCGCAACACTTGTCTCTGATCTTTTTTCTCTAAGCGTATGATTGTATATTTATTTCATTTTGTGAACAAAGTGCAACGTGTATAACACAAATGAAAGTAGATTTATTAACATTGCTATTACACAGCGATGGTAGTGGCTACGTTTCTGTATACGTAACGATCGTGTTGTTACTATTGCTATGTATGCGACATTGTGAACTTATGTGCGCCAAAGAAAATATTATTTCGTACAGTGTATGTTTGTGACTGGTTGAAGAAAAAAATAAAACTCATTTTACGGATATATTGATGTATGTGAGAAATTATATGGCCGTTTATTTCATCTTTTTGTCCTAGATTTCAATTTCGATTGCAGCATAAACCTAACCTTCAAACGCGTTTATGCAACTTATTTAAGTTAGAGATTTGCTTGATACAATGATGACGGCTTAAAAACAATTTTATTTTTTAATCAAAAGTCAATAGTCGGAAATCCAAACAATGAAGTTTTTTCCTTTATCAGTTGTTAATATTAATAACTGTTTATATTCATATATTCCTAGATATAAAAAAATTAGAATAATGTTATTTGTATTGTTTCAGATATCACTTGCAATAATTACGATTAATCGTAATTACGAAGGTCATGTTAAACTGAAATCATAAAAATCATGTTTGCCAGTGATCTTGATGTTTATGAAGAGTTTGTGTGCAATGAGGCAACTGGAAAGTCTAATTTTATACAGGAACAATCAACGCAATGTCCTATCTTGTCAAAACGGGAACGTATTGGAGAAAGTCTGGTAAAAAATTCATCTTGTTGATACTAATTCTTTTAAATTAATTTAATTATTTTAAAGTATAATTATTTATATCTTATCGATTTATATCTTATAAGTTTATATTTTATTTATATCTTATTGACTTATATCTTATAGGTTGTGGGTGAAGAGATAGTTGTTGGTAATGAGCATTTATTCGATGGAACTGATTGTCAAGAAACAGATACAGCTATGTATTTTAATCATGACTTGGAGGATTGCAATAAAATAGGCATTGAATATGAAGAATCCAATGCTTCCATACCATTAACAGAAAGTTCAATTGTTGACAACAATTGGGATTGTGAAGATGTTGATGTGCCTTCGTTAAAAGTACATATAAATAAAATAATTATTTTATTGGTCTACTATTTATTATAAATAAGTGGATCTTTTGTTACAGTCAAGCATGTTTATGCAGTTTACTAGTTGACTGTTATAGTTGAATTCTGATTTGTTAAATTTCGTTTATATAACAGTCAGATAATGTACACAGGAGAACGAGTTTGATAATATCTACGACGAGCAAGACGGCGACGAGGAAACTATTGCCACTTTCGTTACTGCAACTGGGCAACAGTTGGCTCTGTATGCTGTGGAAGACTCAGATGAGATATATGCCGTGGCTCTGTACGACGAATCCGGCGAGCCTCCAACTAATTTTCAATTTCTCATGAAGTAAGTGAGAAATAAACTTGTCGCAAAAATGGAATGTTCCAATTACTTATGTATAAGCATGATATCGAAAAACAAGTTAGTTATAAAAACAAAGGAACATTATGAAAAGAGAATTGTCTTACAGTTTGTTTTGTTGCAATATCAAAAGAGAATTTATTCAAGCTTCAAGTGAAACATTCATTATGTTTTTCTGCTTTTGAATTAGCTTCCAATGATGTTATAAAGATAATAGTGCATAGAATTGCCTTTTTCTATCGTAATTTTTTTTTATCAGAGTTCCTTTCACATGCTAAAATATTTGTTTATGACATGCTTATAGAGCAGATGTGGAACGTCTTATAGGAGAGGGAGCCGTGAGAACGGTGAAGAAACCGATGCAGATGAAAAAACGATTATTGACTACTCAGTCTTCGGTGTTTCTTCAGAAGGAAGATTTTGAGGAAATGGTGGAACAAGCCCAGGCAGACGCGAAAAACGATATTACTGCTCTGAACATGATCGATAACGACGATATAGATCAGCAAGAAAGCTACGAAACGGGATATGACTATAAGCAGAGTTCTCATCAAACCTACAATGATTCTGCCACAATTTCTTCAACGTCCAACGACATTATTTATAATACACCTGACAACAAGCAGTCCGACATCACCACGTATCTCTTGATGAATGATTGCCCCGTGGATATTGGTACGTATAAGATTAAGAACAAATTTTTTAGAATACATATATACAAATAGATTTATTTTGTGGTACATACGACTTCTAAAGATTATATTATATTTATAAAAGATCATATTTATAAGATAAAAAGAAAGAATATTAAAAACGATTTTTAAAACAAAATAACTTTTTAAAGAAATGATAATTTTATAATTTCAATTGATTTTTTACTATAACGTAAAAAATGACGTAAATGAAACTTCAGGAAACATGTTCAAAAGAATATATCTTATTAGCAGACACAACGGATGAGAGTCAAGACATCGAGAGTCGTGAGACCGAGGAGAACGAAGAACCGATGAAGCGCACCACCGTACAATACATTCTGTTCGATGAGGACCAGTCAGACTCGGAACTCACGTTCGACGAGATTCAGAAGACATTGGAGAATCAAGTAAGAAAGCCTTGCCGAAGGTTGAGAGATACATCCGCGGATAGTGAACGATCAGACAGCAAGTCGCAGGACGATTACTCATGTATCAAACGGGAGATTATGCGTGAGTCCTCGATGGGGATCAATTCATCGTTAGAGATGGATATCACTCACCAGGATGAACAATTTACATCCTTTACCGCGCTGACACCATCGGAAAACGAATCGGACGATCGACAACGATTAATCGACACATTGACCGGTTCGCCGACGACGGAGAAAACGCAGCCACGCTTGAAGCGGTCACGCAAGCAGCAGCTGACATCAATGAATCGGGATGATGGCGAAATAATCATCCAGCCGGCGTCGATGCTGAGCGAGGAGGAGTTAACTGGCAAGAAACGGGGCAGGCGGCGACGTCCCAGACTGCCTCAAGTTCGTATTGAGTACGGGCACGCATCTTCTAAGAAAATCAAACGGAATAGACGACAGAAGGTACTGTGTTATGTGAGAAAAACTGACAATCGTCGTGATTAATGGCTAGTTTTGTGTACTCGACTTATTAAATTAACTTTTTGATGTGTTATTACCTAGGTTGTGGAAGTTATTGACCTGGATGTCGACGAGGAGGACCAGCAAAAGAGGAACGTGGTCGAGATTACTTTGGACGACAGCAAAGACGATAACAAATATTCCAGCGATAAGGAAAATGAGATTATCATGGTGAGGGACTCGGACTCAGACGACGAAGAGGAGGATGACGAAGAAGGAAAAGAGGAGGAGGAGGAGGAGGAGGAGGAGGAAGGGGAGGGGGAGGGGGGCAAGAAACTGTCTGACGATTTGACCAAGCTTACTGACATGATGCAGTGCAAGCATTGCTCAAGGAATTTCCGTCAACGACGCGCTCTTGAAACACATCTTAGAGTATGCCAGAAATCACCAGAGAACGCTATCAGACTTAAGAAGAGGAAAGCAAAGAACAAGAGGGAGCAGATCAGAAAGCAGTACACCTGCAAGATCTGCCAAGAGAAATTTGACGTAGTGGTCGCCCTAGCACGTCACGTCCGCGCAGAGCATCCGCAAAGGAAGAAGCATAGATGGGGACCTGCGTCACAAAAGTATAGATAAATCTTTTGAACTAGAAGTATTTTTATGACAGTTATATTCAATAGCAATGAGTGAAGATGCTTCTTTGCTACACCTTTTAAACTATGTTTCAAAATTCTTATACGTCTATTATTTTTTCACAAATTGATAATTTTGACTGAATATTGATTTAGTAAATTTGATGTTTATGCAACAGGACTCAAGATAAATCTTCAAGATCGGTCCAACACAAGCAACAGGAGCAGGAGGAAGAAGATGCTGATGCAGAAGAAGATGATGAAGACGAGGAAGAAGAACTGTCCGATGGCGACGACACGGGAAAAGGAGAACTTCACGTACTTGGCAAAGTAAAAAGAAAACAAAAGGGCGAAGAAGACTGCTCGTGGGAAGCGAAAAAATTCGAGTGTGACGATTGCAGTAGATGCTTCTCAAGTTCTGCACTGTTGGATGCGCACAGTCTAAAGCATGATACTAGGAAGTCTGGTATGTACGCAACAAATTAATTCATCGCAATAATAGATTCAGATCTTGACGAGCGACTTGCAAGACCGTTGGTATCCTAAATTCGGTCATTATTGAACTCTCATTTGTTAATGTCTCAGTTGCGGAGCCACGAGTGCATAAATGCCACATTTGCAAGAAGATCATGAAGTCTAAGTTGTTATTGATACGACACATCAAGTTGCACAGCATACGATACAATACTGATTCGGGACCGTCGCAGATGCTGCGAAGGAGACTACGTACTCGGCCAAGTGCACGCATCAAGTCCCTCAGGAAGCGGGGTCGGCCGAGGAAGTTCTGATCTTTCCTTTCGCGTCAGCGGCATATGTAATATTATATTCTGACGCACGAAACTTGTTTAACCTGTTTAAAATTCTTCAGATGTCTTCAGATCTACTTCTCGCGCGAGCATTAGCGTTAGTATTAGCAGTCTTGATTAGCGTTAATGTAAATAATCGCGAGCCATACATCCCTTGTTACATATCCTCCTCGCGTGTTGTCCGTTTAAAGTCATTCGTCGACAAATGGAGGAACTCTGGTTATTTGTTGAAGCAATGATATGCGATTGACTTGTTATGAAAAAAGGTCGCTTGATAAGTTGGAGATGATAAAATTTAAATTCCGACTTCCTACTTCAGAAGAAAATCTTGTTACGGTTGTATTTTGAGTTATGTAAGATATACTCCCATAGAGGGAAGCCAGAGTGAAAAATTTTATGAATCTCCGATCAATTCTGATCGCGCTGTAACATCGCAGATCTCTGTAAATAGGGCGATACTATAGATTCGTTACAAATTTTATCAGCGATCTGAACGTGTATATATACTTATTAAGTGAGGTGCGCTGATAATGAAAGTGATGCCTCTCTCTCTTATACAGGCATTACGTCATCTATTGTATTCGCCCCTATTTTCTTGTCACACGCAATAAAATATGAGAAAAACTACAGAATGATTGATACATCTATATATATATTTAAGATGTATAAAAATGTTTAGAAATATGCAAAAACGTGATATATGTATTATACAATTACACGATAAAAATCTATTTCTTATAGGTATGCGCTGATTCCTTTGAACATCGATTTTGCGCTTGATTTTGCCAGGTGAGTCTGTCCTCGTAGAATCGAATAACAACTTGAGGACACTGTATATTTGCCTCCTTGGCAGGAACCAGATCAATCTTATCCGTCCCTTTCCTGTATACATGAAATCATTTTTGTTTAGTCCATCAATCAACTCTCTCTTTGATAATTCTTTTAAATTAATTTATTTTGGCTTCAAAGCTTCCCTTACTAAATATTACTCACATACTTTATTTTACACTATAATAAGAAATCTCTCCTTCCTTATTTATATATATATATATATATACACACACACATATATACATATATATATTACATACGCACACACACATATGTATATGATATATATATATATATATATGATATATATATATATATGATATATATATATATGATATATATATATATATATGATATATATATATATATATATATATATATATATATATATATATATCATAAATAATGTAGTTTCAAAGTGTGTAACAGATATGATATACAAATAGAAGGTTTTCATTTACCATTGCATGAGAAACATTAACTCTCCTGTGAGATCTGCCGCACCAATGATCTTGTCTGGTTCAAGTGCTCTTTTAAATCCATGGACTTCATCGGTGTTCTTGGTTATTTTCTCCTCATTATTCATCTCACAAAGAGATATAAAAATGATGCTATTGCTGGAGAGAAGTCACAAAGACCCAAAAGATAATACAATTACAATCTTACTAAAATCACTTTAAAGTACAGCACGTGAACTTCTGATGTGTCTGAAAAGTTTCAGAAGTAGCAATTGATATAATCTTACAAGAGATAACATTTTTTTCTCATTTATATGTTTCTAATTATATAACTTTAACCGTTTATATGACAGTATAAAACTGGTTTTGTATAGCATCTATAATTTGTGTTTAATAGCATAAAATTAATTTAATCATTTCTGATTTATAACCACTACTGGACTTATATATGTGTAATTGTCATGCTCTATTTATACAATATATAAACAGTTATATTATCAGAAAAATTGTTAGTTTTATACTAATTATATAAACTACAAATGTTACAAAAATTATTTTAAATTGATGTCTAACAATAATCTTTAGTCAATCTTATATATTATCTATTAAATCAATTAGGTCATCATTTACCTTTCTTTATCCGTTTCGAGAATGTTTAAATCAATTATTAACGTCAAAGATTTAATCAAAGTTTCATTTCCACAAGCTTTTGGCACCATTTTAAATATCAGTTTTTCTAATTCTAAAGCAGAGCTTAGTCGATATTCCTTGAATTGTATGTATTCACAACGCGTTACAATATGATCTCAAAACTGTGAAAAACAAGTATTTGATTACTCTTTGAAAAAACATATCCATACTTACATGACTGCGAAGTTAATAATATACATTTCTTGTGGTGATTGACAGACTACGTCGTTGATTTCGCATTATAAATTTATTTCTAAAATTGTTTAGAAACATTGTGTACACATACCTATTGAAATATTAAATAATTAGTAAGGTTATGCTATTAATAAAAAACCTATCTAACTTGTTACACTTCGCACATCACGTATTTGTGTCGATTATACTAAAAAAGATAATATAGTTCTAGTTTTAGAGTCCTCACTTTCGATATGGCTGAAACTCAATAATATTGTGTATTTTCATACGTAGAAACCAAATATGAAAGGTAAAATCGTTGCTCTGTCTCGGAAAGCGAGATATTAATCGTTAAAGTTAACGGGTATGATAGGTTATGAAACCTGTCATAGCAACGAAAAATAGCAACCAATGAGTTCTATACATAATGGATGTTTCCAGTTGCGAACATTGTGTTACACAAAACTAGCTTATTGGTTGCATATTATCTTACATATTTTAGATAATATGTGACCAATAAACTGGTTTTATGTACGTGTGTGTCAAGATGTGTTAAGCAATTGGAAAGCACCCACTGAGAAGTGAGCCGTTAGCAGTGTCGCCAGATCGATAAAAATAATTTCTGTAGATTTTCTAGTAAAATTTCCCGAGAAATTCCTGAAAAAACCAGTTTAGCCAAAAAGAACAAGCCTAATGTCGAGTCATAACCAAAAACAATTTATATTAAGATCAGATCACATTTCTTTATAAGAAAAACTTATAATATATAATAATATATAAAAATTTATAATAATTATAATATATTAGGTGCGCAACTAAATTTCCGGGTTTCACACATGGATGGCGCTAACGACACATGTAGTCGACATACTTGTCTAAAGTTGTGTTTCTTTTATAGCTTGGATATCTGTCAACAATAACCAGTCATAATACCAACACATATCGCAACGCAAAAATATTTTTTCTAACAATGAAGATGTCGAGTTTTGTGCCAAAAACAGCATTTGCGGGAAACTTTGCTTCTCTGCTTTAACTTGAAAAAAAATGTAGCTGAAGCACGTCGTTTGCTTGAGGAGGCCTACAGCGAACATGCACCATCGAGAACTACCTGTGAAGATTGATTTAAACGCTTCAGAAGTGGCGATTCGACACTAAGGACACTAAGGACAAGGAGCTCTCCGGAAGACCAAAAACAATTGAGGACACCGATCTGCAAGCGTTATTGGATGAAGATGATACGCAAACACAAGATCAACTTGCGGAGGCATTAAACATAAGGTATTTCGCTAAGGTATTTCCAAACGTTTACATGCCATGGGAAAAATTCAAAAGGAAGGAAAATGGGTGCTGCATGAGTTGACTAAGAGACAGATGAAAAATCGAAGAACTACTTCCGAAATTTTGCTTTTGCGGCATGAAAGAAAGAGTTTCTTGCATCGAATTGTTACTGGCGATGAGAAGTGGATATATTTCGAGAATCCCAAACGCAAAAAATCGTGGCTTTCACCTGGCGAAGCATCAACATCGACGGCACGGCCAAATCGCTTCGAAAAGAAGACAATGCTCTGCGTTTGGTGGGACCAGAAAGGAATCGTGTACTATGAGCTGCTGAAACCGGGCGAAACTGTCAATGGGCATCGCTACCGACAACAACTGATCAATTTGAACCATGCATTGCTCGAAAAACGGCCAGAATGGGACACGAGATACGAACGAGTGATATTGCAGCACGACAACGCTCCGTGCCATCGCACTTCCATCGTCCAGGACACCATCAAAACGCTGAAATGGGATCTGCTATCGCACCCGCCGTATTCACCAGACCTGGCCCCTTCCGATTATCACTTGTTCCGGTCGATGGCGTATGACTTGGCTGAGCTACACTTGACCAATTTCGAAGAAGTGCAAAATTGGTTGGATGAATGGTTTCGATCCAAAGACGCGTCGTTTTATCGTCGCGGTATTCATGTATTGCCAGAGAGATGGCAAAAATATGTAGCTAGCGAGGGACAATACTTTGTATAAATCATTTTTTGTATTTCTCTTGAAATTTTCCATTTTTCATTGATCAAAAAAACCCGGAAACTTAGTTGCGCACCTAGTATATTAGAACATTTTTAGAATATACTTTCAGTGCTAGTTTCACAATCGCCCGACAAAAACAGGTTGTATCCACGTCGGTCCACGTAATTTACGTAGAATACTTCCTTCCTTCCTTCCTTTCTTTAGTATATGGTTACGGGAATTCTCAAGGAGACATATCCCCTCAACACCATTTCAAGTTAATATGAGAAAAAAATTTAATATTGAGTTAACAAGGTTATTTGAAAGAATTTTAATATGAAATCTACGTTGAAGATGAAATACTTCAATTTATCGAGGATAAATAAACGTTGCATCTATATCGATATTTCGTGAATATGTCCATAAACATAGTTCACGTAAATTACGTGATTTGATGTGGATGCAACGTATCTGTTTTTGTCGGAATATGGTGAACGTGAAATCTACGTTGATATTTCAAAGATGAAATACCTCGATTTATCGAGGACAAAAGAATACTGTATCTATATCGATATTTCGTAGATAAAAGTCCATCCACGTGTTCCACGTAAATTACGTGGATTCGACGTGGATATAACGTACCTGTTTTTGTCGGGATTTTTGATACCTCTGATATACCTTTAATAACATTTTATCTAAAATGCATAAAGTTTCGGTGTTCTTCAGAGCAAAAGAGGAAAAAATTTATTAGATACTTTCACATTAGATATTTTCTCTTTCTCTTTCATTTTCACCAAAGATAGAATGTGATTTTTAAAATAAAAATTTCAGTTCATTTATGAATTGTATTGGAATGTTTCGGATACATGCTGAATCTATTAAAATCCAAGCAGAAAGCATTTAAATGAATGCGCTCGTAATCACCGAAATTGCACATGCTGTACAAAAAAATGGCAAATACTGCTGCTATACAAGCTATTAATGACAATAAACGGATTGAAATATTTGAGAAACTTACAGTTGTTTTAGAAAACTTGTTACGAACGCATCTTAAGAATTAGCTTAATATTAAGTTCAATAATTCGATTACTCTATAATGTAATAACATATAGTTAATTATTTGATGTAATTAATAACGTTATCGTTTAACTATTATTGCATTTTAATATACTGTTACTTTCTTTCAGGCTGCTTTATGAAATAAGCAGTTCCTGAAGAATTTGACAAGACATTGCGACTGCGAGTATTGTCCTGTCTATTAGCGTGTTCGACTGGCCCTGGGTTATCGCTCCGAGAGCGATTAATAAAGTCATAAGTCTCTAGCCAATCATAAAACTTATAAGTACTTGTTTGACCAATAAACGTGGGCTGAATAACTTAAAGTGAGTTAACCATGAACCTATAATATATGGACTGAACATAGACAAAGAAACCGTGTCCGCGTCAGAATTATGTGAGATAGAAAATGGGTAACACATCTTGATACACACGTACACAAAACCAGTTTATTGGTCGCATATTATCTAAAATATCTTGTAAGATAATATACAACCAATAAACTGATTTTGTGGAATACACAAAATGTAACTGGAAAGCACCCAATATATATAGCGTGGTGATATTTACAATTATAAATGAAAAAAACATCAAAATGCCGAGCAGTTGTTGTATTCCGAAATATAAAAACATTACAAAAGATAATTTTCATTTATTCAGGTAAGTTGAAAGTATTTACACGTAATAAATATGAGAGTTTTGTAATATTTGAAGCTTGTTTCAATTAAAATTTCTAAATATTTCAGATTTCGTATGAATCAACCAAACATTTAAAAAATATGGGTCGATGTTATCAGAAAAAACTTTACACAAAAGAAGCCATTTAGCTGTAGTGCTCACTTCGTAACAACAGATTTTATAGATAGATCTAACGCAAGCGGTGTG